AGCTTTCGTTGAGCTGAAGGAGTGGTAAGTTTTTGCTCCGAATGGATGTCCTATTCTTGCTGAGGAACTTGAACTCAGTATTCTCTGTACCAGTATCCCTGGGCTCGGAATATTTGTCAGATCCACCTGAAGATACAAGTTCTGGAAAAAACAAAACCAAACTCCAAAACATATGAGAGTAAAGGGCAAGTGGTATCGACAGCTTATGCGCAATGTAGTAAATGAATAAGTAATATTAAGTAATTCCCTTCGAGTATACATCATTTGCACATTCTTGATTTCCAGTTCCCGTTCAGTTCCCAGACAGTTCCCGTAAATTTTTTTTATTCCAGATGTCACAGCCTGTCCATGGAGGTGCTACTGTCTTCACTGATATCAAATCTACTGTGATGCCAACTAAGGTCAGTCTTATTCGCACTATTTTTCAATCTTTCCGTCGCCTTCTGCAACTGATAGTTTCACAAGGATAAGGAAACCTCAACCTATTGATCATTTTTGAAGTTTTCAACGATCAACGACCCATTTAGAGTACATCCTACGGTTACCCAGTAGGTAGGATCCCATCTCCCAATAAAAAGGGGGAGGGGGTAAGAACAGTAGGGCATGTGACTTATCTCTCATCACGCTTTCTTCAGTCCTAATGCAACTAACATACACAGTCTTGTTCGCTGCGAATGATGGGGCGTGTCAAGGGTGAACGGGTTTGGCGTTTTTTTTCTTTCGGCAAACGACATATCGTACTGTACTGTATCATATCGTTCGTGCCTGTCATTTTCCACGTGCTGGTGTCGCTCACTCACTGCAAAAAAGAATGGGCTGGTGGTGTGCCAAACCCCAGCCAGCCTGACACGCCCTTTTCATACGAAACCGCTCACGTGCCACACACCACCCTTTGTGCTCCGCCCGCAGCTCAATACTCCTCATCATTACGGACTGTCGGGGCGGGTCAGTGCGGCTGCGTTTTCCGCGGTTCCAAAGTCTTTCTGCACCAGTTGTTGAAGCGATCAAATGACATAACAGCATTATATCCTTCGTATTACTCGTTTTCTACCACTTTTTGTCGCATACGCGCTTCAAGAAAAGGCTGAGAACGGCTTCAAACAGTGTGCGCACTCCTTCTGGCCGATACGCCCCGACAGTCCGTAATGATGAGGAGTGTATGTGCTGCCACTTGTGAGGTGCTGTCTTGGCTTTTGACAGTTTCCGTTTCTAAATATATCCCGTATTGCCCAGCACAGGCGCTGCTTGGGCGGACGGGGGAGGGGCTTTGCCACTTTAAACGGCTCCCGTGAGCCGCCAGTCTAGACAGCCTCCTCTCAGTTGACAGGTCGTCCATGATGGCTTTGCCAGGACTCTCAGGTTGTCACTAGAGAAGAGACTGCCTAAACCAGAACTAGTTCAAGGCAACGAAAGTGTCCCCCGTCGGCAAAGTTTTGCGCCGCACGCCGCCCACCAAAAGCCTATGTTTGGACTCTTTTGACAGCATTTCAACCTACTTTTTGCTCACTAGTAACCTCGGCCCTCTCTGGAGATTCAACCTGATCGACAGTTATCACGACATCATCGCACAGGTAAGCCCAGCTACGAGACGTCCTCCTTCAGAGCTACGTCCTACAATTGCACGTTTTAGGCAATGAGGTGCGGTGCAAAAGTCTAGCGGCTAGTTGGGTTACCAGTGAAAAACACGGAAAATTCGCCTTCACTGGGGTGCTTCATCATTGCAGTTGACGGTGATCACCGGACTTTGCACGGAATGATGAACTCGCGAATAGGCGCCATCGCGCGCGGAACGCACATCGACCGAAATGGGTCTCACTGCGGTTCAGAAACAAAACTTGAAGCCCGATTTAAGCAGCCCACTTCAGGCAGGTGAAAACGCGAAGCCCACTTCAGCAGTGGTGAAAAGGGCATGTCTTTGAGCAAATCCATCTCGCCTACTCACTAAAGGGGATGAATTCTAAGCTAATAGCGAAAAGTGCCCCTGTGGATGACATCGAGAAGAGAAAGGAACTGATATCAAATCATGGAAGGGGTTGTATAAAAGTGTAGTATTTGGAATCGGAGGAAATCGCCTTGATACTGTTCCTATGTCACCGAGGTTACTCGGTGAGACAACTGTTGATGTTTTTTGAAGGCAGAGTGCGCCATAAGGAGCGTTGGTAGTGGTGTTGAAATATGGAAGAGAAGTCGTCAAATGACTCACCTATGATGAAGAAATGTCAAGGAGAACGTCGGCGCCGCCTTTAATTGAGCCCTTCCAGCCTCAAACGACAGTACGGGTAAAAGATCAAAAAATCGCGTGTGGGAGGAGTCCAGTCGGCTGCTTCCTTTCAATGAACCCTGGCCGCATGAGAGGCGATAGAAGATCCATTTCTTGTTACTTGTCTGGCAGCGTCGCTTCTGGCTGGAAGGCAGTGAGTGCGGATTGTTGGCGGCGCAGTCACGAGTCAGTCAAGCGAGGCGCCAATGGAAAAAATCTGAAATGGCTTCGGAATCAAATCCAAAGTCCAATAATCCATTTTATTTAGTCAATGGAAACACACGTAGTGCTAGCGGAGGGAAGCATGCATCAAATGATGCCGATTCGATGACCTTCCAAGTGCACGTATCCCACTACGCCACTTGTCACAAATGGGACACCAATTCCAGTGCGAACCAGTATGAGCGGTCAACGCACTTGAAACTTCCCGGTACACTCTACGTTTTGCGGTCAGAGACGCCCCATCAAGCCTGCTGCACGTCTCCTGCGGGCCCTCCTGGGAAGGCTTCTCCTCGTTTATTTCTCGATGAACTTGAGGTCTCCAGTACCTGTGAAGGGCTCTCCGTTGACTCATAGCTCAAAGGTCATCGCTCATCCAACGTTTGAGGGCAGTCCCCAGTGTTCCGTAAAGACCTTTTGGTCACTGGCTGCCAGCCATGGATGACAGTTCATCTGAAGGTTCCTTGGTCTGGTACTCGAACTACAATGCGCCCGCGCTATGCGGAGTGGCGATGCAGCACAAATGGGCTCCTGCACGCGGTGCTGCCTCTGCAGCATACACTTGGATGTGCCATACACATAAGATAGTCGTGATTGTTACAACGGAACTGCGCATGAAGTTGAGGCCCAGCGCAATATTTTGGCAGTTAGGTTTTTCCGTTTCAAGCGATCGCGTTGTTTTTTGTTTATTAATATTCGCAGCACTCCTACTCATTTTGCTAGGCGTGAATGGTCTGACTGTTTGAAGCGGGCGGCGAGGAGTCAGTTGAGGCAAAGTTTTTCCACATCTCTATGAGTTCTCCTGATCAGTATCTCAGTGTTGTATTCAGCAAAAGTCCTAGAAACTGGTGGGAATCAACACTAGAAATGACCAATGGTTTGGGTGGGGACCTCTACTGCTATGTCCTATATTCGGCTCCTCCTTCATTTTCGACCAGTTACTAAAAAGGCCTAGTTACTGCGTTCAAAGGAAAACCCATGAACAGATATTTTGGGTAGTGGGGCTTAAAGAGACATGGCAAAATGCCAAGCCGGTCAATGGTGGAGAAAAAGCAAGTTGTCGCTAGTGCTTCATATAAAACCCCCTAAGGAGCTCACTTGAGCGATTGCAGGGCAAAAACATACAACTGAACAAAGGGCGAGAAGAGAAACCCTGAGAAACTGTTCCGAACTTTCCCGTTGTTCCCTTCCCCTTGATGAAAATTGATCCCACATTTCGTTTGCAAGAACGATTGGCGAGTGCTGGACGACAGAGGAGCCAATAAGGCCACCTTTTAGGAACGCTGTACCGGAAAGGCAGAGAGGCGGAGGCCATTCTGGTAAGGTACACCAGAATTTCTTCGGATGAGATGCCGAAACTACTGGACCGTCTATGAGTTTCCTGATACTGAAGTCGTGAGCAGCCCTCCAGTAGTACCTTTCTTTATAGAAAAAGCTCGTGTTTAGAATGCAAGAAACCCTGAATTGGTAATTCAGTTGTTTTTCCAGAATGTCGTATAGGTCGTTGCGAATTTTCTGAATTTCGTAGCTCTGGAATGTGATTTTTCAGAATGATGCATTGTTCTGGTACAATCTGCTGAAACAAGGAGATGGAGATGTTAGGACACGTCATGCCGCTTGTCCAGTCCTGGTTGGAGTGAAATGGGTACGTTGAGCTTTTCTAGGACAGACTGGAAGCTGGCCCTATGGGTTGAGCTGGGTCCACTAAGTGTGTTTCTCGTTAGCGTGAGCCTCCTCTTCACCTTCTTAGAAGGGGTCGGAACAATGAGAAATAACAATTGCAAACCTCTGTGGAATGTGCTTGAGGTTGCCTTAGGCTCCGCCCATACTTTGCAGCACGGTACCCAGCGGCTAGGAAAGTATAGATATCGATCTAGCGTCTGCCAGCGTCCACCAGCGACCGGGAGTAGAGAGTATGGGGAAGTAGGAGGGTAGCAAACAGCTGGATTAGGCGTCGTGAAATTGCGGCGTGTGCAACCGCACCACACAACTGCTAAAGCACAGAATTAATCTTGTTGTACGGTGTAGTGCAGTTGGACGATGCGGTTGCACACGCCGCAATTTCACGACGCCTAATCCAGCTGTTTGCTACCCTCCTACTTCCCCATACTCTCTACTCCCGGTCGCTGGTAGACGCTGGCAGACGCTAGATCGATATCTGTACTTTCCTAGTCGCTGACGCTGCCAGACGCTCGGAACGCTAGTGGTTGCTGGTGGAAGCTGGCAGACGCTAGCGGACGCTCTGCCGCAAAGTATGAACAAAGCTTTAGACTGTTTAGTGCTGATCATTTAGGTCTCAAACAAATGGATTCACGAACGAGGCAACGAGTTCCGTCGCCGCTGTGGCGTTAAGATGTCAGACTATGAACGGTAAGCTCTTTGTCTCATAGCGGCTTTCAGCCTGGTTTGCCTCAAATGAAGCCTTTTCAGATTTGTCGGAGATCTTGGCTTTGGTCCAGAGCCTAAAGACGCTCCGAATTTGAGTCCGATTTTGTCTAAGGACATATTCAACACCATCTAAAGGCTGTTCTATTTATTTGGTTCTTTTTTTCCATAGTTTTCCTCTCATTTCTGTGGTTCTCTCGGGTGGTGACTACTTGTTCACGCAAATGCCTTGCCAAACGGTTTTTTCCTTGCCAGTTGTTGGATTCCTTCGTTACTGCTTGCCTTCGAATTTCATTATGGTTATTTTGCCATCATCGCTGTTATTGTCCCGTTAACAGTAGCATAATTGCCCCAGCACTCACGGGCTGATTCCGTACCACTGCCTTGTTATGGCACTTTGCATAATGTCACTCGTCGTTATTGTGAACGTTTTTATTCAGTGCCATTCATATTATATCGATACATATTTTCTATTGGAAACTTCACAATTTCATAGGTTCGGATAGCCCAGTGAGTGCTACCTGTTCCTTCCTTACCTCTAGTAGAGGTGGATGTGGGCTTTATGGTCCTAAAGAGGGAAAAGCAAACTTGAAAACTTATTCGGAGGTCATCAGGAGGAATCGCCCTGCCACACCGCATCAGCTGCACTTCTGCTCCTACAGACGCTTTAGAATTTGTTGCTGCGCTGGATAATATCGTCCTTATTTAAGGGCAAAAAGGGCGTCCTGGTGACGGCTTCGTATCCCGACCCTCATATCTTACACACACTGCCTCTATTTCCTCTGGACCCTCACCGCTCTACGCCCCTTCTTGCCCTCAGATATGGACTAAACAACCTTTTTTGTTGAACCAACTACACCACTTTTGAAGGCGGTTGGCACGATGAATCCCTAAGGGATTAATACGCCTGGCGTGAGGAAAATGCGCGCCTCTGAGCCAGTGCTGCGTAGCGCCTTTTCCAATACGCCTCATGAGGCCCTAATTCAGCTGGGCAACATACAGTCCGGCTGTCGACGCCCATACCGCGCCCCGCCGCCCGGACGAACCGCACCTAAAGCTCGTAATGCTTCATTTGCTAAGTAAAATATGAAGCGAAGGGATTGATATGAAGCTGGTATTATCACGATACCTACAGAGAACTCGTCCGAAATCGTTTTTTGAGTCATTAAAAACGTCTTTTTTTGCAGGTCTTCGGTCATTTTTCGCTTTTCCCAATTTTCTCACTACATGGCACCTGCTAGCATTTTAGACCGAGCACCCAATTATCGTGTCATATGTCCTGAAAGAAAATAATTGAAGTGCGAATCGATATGCTGTTTCATATCCCGATCTCAAGGAATTGGGTTCGCCAGTTTTGCTGACGGTCAAAACACTGAGCAGGTAGGAAGTGGCAGCAGTAAAGAAGAATCCAGAGAGGAACGTCCCAAACTCTACAAATATGGGCTAGTGGAAGATTATCCGCTACAGTCAGTGCCAAAATGCCAAAATCGCTCACGAGGCAATGTCTATGTTGTAGCGCTCTTTGTCACAAGATCTAGAGCGCAGACGAACAACAGGCAGAATGAGAGACCATTTGGAGGGTGAGCATCTACCGGAGGCGTTGGATCAGTTTTGCCTAAGGTCGATTCTGGATAGCTTTCCAGGGAACAACTGCTTCTCCTTTGCCGAATGTCCTCAGTTAACCGGCGAGATAAGATTCCCATTTCGCTTGGTTCTGGTGCCTCTACTTTTAGTTTATTCTACGGGTTAGCTGCGAAATACGAACGCGCTCAAAATGCTTCTCTCATTAGATGCCGAGCTGTTTGTCCTATTTCTGCGCCTGCGTTGCGAGTTGTAATCGAAGCTCTGCATGAGCTCGCGTGGGCAGCCGAAAAATAACGCGGAAAATGTTGGATAGATGCGAATTTTTGACCTACACTGTAACACAGCTTTATTCAGACTTACCTTAAAGTGAAGTAAAGTCTTCGCCGTTGATCAATCCCTTTGTGGGATGCGGCACGCATTCTACTTCCATTCAGAATGAATTCTGAATTCAGACTTACCTTAGGGTGCAAATTTACACTGATTTGATAACTGTGAAACTACCCTCTCTTTGAAAGTACGGTATTCATGGTCTATTACTAATTTGTTTCGGTTGCGAAGAGGGTCTCTCTTGCACATTAACCATATTTCCATCTAGTAACTGCGAAAAGTCTTGAGTTCATTCTCCGGCTTCTCTCTTGCTGTCACCTCGGCATCGTTGTTCAGTTCGTTAGCATTGATGTGCCTCTCGAGATTTTTAGGTGGAACTTGACCTAACTTTTGACAGGGTCATCTTCTTCAGAGGCCAAAACTCACCGTAAATGCGCCGTCACAGGCAGTCAGTAGTCTCTTGTAGCTTTGAGTACACCTATTCTTTTGGGACCAATAGAATTGAAGCGCTGAGGCGTTCATAAACCTCTCTATGGAATGCGCGAAACACTTGTCTTTCATTAAGTGCAGACATCTATAAAATTTGTATCTATGGAATATGCACGTAATATGGACCAAACAGCTCTCTGAGCCGGCTGACGGATTTCGAATTCAAGCCCAATTTGTCATCAGTTTCAAATTCGAGAGATACGCCTTCGTCGATATCTCCTTGTGGGCGGAAGCCCGAACATGCTAAAGAATCACGAGTTGTTTCTGTTTTTCAACTTGGGCATATCATTCTTTAAGTCTTCTCCTCAGCGGGATTGAAAGAAAATATATAGTTGATCGTCAGTAAAGATAGAAGGCATTATCTTCGCAGCAGATATCCCACTGCGAATCATGCTTTTCAGCTGACCATCATTTGACCTTTGTGCCTACGTTTATCGTACATTTTTCCCATTAGACCACGAGACCCCTCCACGCGGCCTCCACCTCAGCACTTACTTTGTCATTTTACACAAGTTCCTTTGCTCATGCTAATTTATTTGGATATTCGGTGATTACGATGTTACCTTACGAGAAAACGAGGCGTCACTGAACATATATTGCGCTACAGCGCCCCTTACAATTTTTTGCCGCGAAACCGGTACAAGGTTGTTCGTCGCGGACCACACTACCCTCCCGACGCCATATTTTCAACTTCTATACCTGATCGCGGACCGTGCCTTTAACTGGGAATCCCTGGGATCGGGTAGGCGTGGCCGTATGTTTCAGCTCAAAGGCAGTTGGCACGATGGTTTCCCACTCGGCCTAAAATTCTAGTAGGGCGCCAT